TAATTCTTTTTTTTGGGGGGGGGGATGAGAGTGGCTAGATTTAAGGGAGAGCAAGGTTTAAAGGAGAACTGGGATTTTTTTTTTTTTTTTTTAACAAGATGACCGGTAAGGGGATTTTAACCCTTGACTTGGTGTTGTCAGCACCACGCTCTCCCAAGTGAGCTAACCGGCCATCCCTATATAGGGATCTGAACCCGTGGCCTAGTGTTACCAGCACCACACTCTCCCAAAGTGAGCCACGGGCTGGCCCTGTAAGTTAGTTCTTTCCATATATCCTACATAGTACATTCCATGAACCAATTATTGACTTTTACCTTTGTTTATATTTTCACTATTTAATTACATTCATTTATTAGATGCAGATATAATACAAGGTGCATTGTTTTCTATATGAGGATAAAGTTAATACACAATTTACATTATGTTGAATGAATCAGTTCTCAAGATGATAGCTGCTTTTAACTTATAAGCATACATAGTTTCAATAAATTGGCATTCTCGTATTTATAGGTTTGTGTATATCTTTCAATTAAATCACTATTGAAATAGAAATCTCGGGCCAGCCCGGTGGCGCACTGGAGAGTGCACCGCTTGGGAGCGTGGCCGTGCTCCCGCCGAGGGTTCGGATCCCATGTGGTGACCGGTTCCCGCTCACTGGCTGAGCGTGGCGCGGGCACATCGAGGGTTGCGATCCCGTTACCGGTCAGTAAAAAAGACAAAAAGGAAAAAAAAAAGAAATAGAAATCTCTTTTTCCTTTCTTAGCCTCAGCAAGTGTCAACATTGGCCAATTGGAGCATCAGCTTATATTGTCAGTGGATCCCTGGAGGATTCGACAGATTTTAATTGAATTACATGGTATGACTTCAGAACGCCAATTCTGGACAGTATCTAATAAAGTAAGAAATTCATGTACATTTTATGGGGTTTAAACATACAAGTGCAGTGAAGTAAAAAGTTTGCTTTAAACATTATTCGATTACCTTAGTATTGGTGCTGTTTATTAGTGTTAATTTTTAAGATAAAGTATAGCATCACAGTTAAGAGAGGGGGTTCTGGGACTAACTGCCTGCCTGAGTTTGAATCCCATCCTTGTATTTACTAGCTGTGTAATCTTTAAACAAGTTATTTTACTTCTGTGTGCTTCAGTTTTCTCATTTGTAAAATGGGAATAATAGTACCTACTTCATAATATCGTGAGGATCATGTGAGTTAATACATATAAAACTAGTTTTCAAGAGTTGGCTGATTAACTCAGTTTGTTAGAGCGTGGTATTGATAAGGTCCAGGGTTCAATTCATGTTACTGGCCAGCCACCAAAAAATAAATAAATAAATCGAACTAGTTTTTGTGTCTTTTTCTATAGGCTGTCCTTCAGAAAGTTCTACTTCATTTAATTATTTATTACTGGCTCATTATAGTGAATATGTTCATTTAGATTAGCCTTTTATTATGGCAGTCATTTCCTTTTCTCGTTAAAAAATGATCTATGATTTTTTTTTTTTTGATTGAAAGTGTTTTTGTTTTTT